GTCAGGCTGGGTAAGAAGCACTTGAATCTGAATTCATCTAGCCAAGATGCCCAGACTGCATACTGCATATAATTGCGTATCCTACAAATTGTGTATGGTATTCTAGGAATCTGTGTGCCTGCCAATACCTCCTCCTGTGCCTATGAAAGCTCCCAGTAATTATTTCCTCCCAAATGCACAATGCCTGAGAGGCTGCTTGCTGTTCCTGTTCAGCTCCAGGTCACACCCCAACCACACATTTAAAGCAGTCTTATGCCACGTTAACAGCCATGGGTTCCCCCAAAGAACCCAGGGAACTGTTGCTTGTTCAGGTGCTGAGACTTGCTAGGAGACCCTTTACAGGGGTTACAGTTCCCAGCATCTTTAACAAACCATAGTTGTGAGGATTCTGTGAGGGAGGCCATGGCTGCTGAAGTTGTTTAAGGCTGCTTTAAATGTGTGGTGTCGGTGGGACAGCCAGTCTGCACTGACTTGGCCTCTTCACATTATTGAACATGTCCCCTTAAAACATGCACATCCTCCAACGTTTCTCAGATGAAAATATGAGAGCTGGACCATAAAGAAGGCTGTTCGCCGAAGAATTGATGCTTTTGAATTATGGTGCTGGAGGAGACTCTTGAGAGTCCCATGGACTGCAAGAAGATCAAACATGTCCATTCTGAAGGAAATCAGCCGTGAGTGCTCACTGGAAGGACAGATCCTGAAGCTGAGGCTCCAATACTTTGGCCACCTCATGAGAAGAGAAGACTCCCTGGAAAAGACCCTGATGTTGGGAAAGATGGAGGGCACAAGGAGAAGGGGACGACAGAGGACAAGATGGTTGGACAGTGTTCTCGAAGCTACCAGCATGAGTTTGACCAGGAGGCAGTGGAAGACAGGAGTGCCTGGCATGCTGTGGTCCATGGGGTCACGAAGAGTCAGACACGACTAAACGACAACAACAAAGGAAAAGTGGGGCATTCCGGGATCAAGTCAGAAACTGGGACGGCTTCTGTAAATCTGGGGCTGTCCCTGAAAAAATAGGGACACTTGGAGGGTCTGCACATGCCCACATTTAACTGGATGCCAGGATGGGATACCCACCCTCCCATCCCTTCTCAGCAGAAGAGAGGTGCAAAAGAGCTTTTCTCTAAGTGTGCATGGAGCTGGTTGACCCAATGGCTGATGGAGAGTGACGTCTGCACCACTTTGTGGTCCTGTTTCTTTTTCCGCTCTTTTTTATACGTGGTGACCCTTTTGTGTTATGTCATGCTCCCATTGGTAGGCTGCTCTACTGCATTTTTGTGACGGGTGCACATGGCGCGTTCTCAAAATTTCTAATGTGTCTGCTGGCCAAAAAATGTGCACCACAGGCACAGCCCAAAGTTGGATTTGCCATTGGGCTCCAAGTAATTCAATGACTTGAAGGACTGTGTGCTCATTTCTTCAATCTTGCACTCTGTCTATTCTGGGCACACATTGCGTTGCTAACATCCTCTGACTGGTATGTTAAAAGGGAAACTTGTCTTGTCCCTGTTCTGAGAAGCGCACCAGAGAATTTTGGCTTTCTTGACTTTATCTCCTCGCCAAGAGGACTCAATGCCTTCATCGGGTGCTTCAGTGTTCAATTTGCAGCCTGAGAGCCGTTTGCTAAATTAAAATTTTTAAAAATCGAAGAGACTGTGCAATTGCATTAGTACAAATCTTCCCCAAACAATGGCAGATAATAGCACCTGGGTTATCACACTTCAAAGCAGATTAGTATAATTTCTAAGCATTTCAGCTGAGCTGTTTTGCGTTGAACAATGCATAATCTCTTTTAATACCTGGAGGTATGCCTCAGTCTTTAATTGAAATAGTAATTTTCACTATCAGGTTTTATTATTAAAAAGAAACGATGCTGCCTTGTTTTTGTGAATAGGTGGGTACCAGGGTGTGCAGATCAGTTCCTGGAATGTTTCTCAGCCGAAAGCTGCACAGCTCCAGTGATTGTATTAAAGGGGACAACACAATTATAGGTTCATGTTATAGTATTTAAACTGTACTCTGCAGTGCATAGAGAAAGAGAAGGAATGTGAGGGTTGTTGAGTTTTCTTTCATTGGAATTTCCTCGGAGTTGGCTTTGGAGCAGCCTAGCAATTGGTTTTAGGATGGAGTCAGCTTGTGATGGAACAGTACTGCCCGGCAAACAACAGCAACCTTGGTGTTTGGGGGCAGAGCAGAGGTTTGTTTCTTTGTTGGCATTTGTTACCATAGATGCATGATGTCTGCAGCTGATGTGAGAAGACTGAGGAAATGGACACAGGCCTGAATCAGGCCACAACTTGCTTGACTACAGGTCAGAATAGGACAGAGTTGCCCCTACTAGACCCCTTTAATGGGGTACCCACATGACTAAGGATCCGACCCAATGCCTTATCCACCAAAGTTGTGTCCGTTGCTATGATGTAGGCGAAAACCAATTTGCTTGCAGGAGAAAATTCCTTCCTGGCCCTGAATACGGCAACTCATAGAATCATAGAGTTGGAAGAGACCACAAGGGCCATTGAGTCCAACCCCCTGCCAAGCAGGAAACACCATCAGAGCACTCCTGACATATGGTTGTCAAGCCTCTGCTTAAAGACCTCCAAAGAAGGAGACTCCACCACACTCCTTGGCAGCAAATTCCACTGTCGAACAGCTCTTACTGTCAGGAAGTTCTTCCTAATGTTTAGGTGGAATCTTCTTTCTTGTAGTTTGGATCCATTGCTCCATGTCCGCTTCTCTGGAGCAGCAGAAAACAACCTTTCTCCCTCCTCTATGTGACATCCTTTTATATATTTGAATATGGCTATCATATCACTGATTAACCATGACAAGGTCTTCATGCTAACTTGCCCACTTCCCCACTAAACAGGCCCCTATCAGTCTGGGTGGGAGGGAGGTAAATCCTGCGTTGGTCAGCCAAGATGGCAGGTGGCTCCAAGTCGTCCTCCTAAATAACCCAGGGGTGCTCAGGCCCCGGCCCCATGCCCATGTCCAGATAGGCTTGCTGTCAAGGCCTGCCCAAACAGAGGGTCCAGCACGGCCAAGGGAGGGTGGCATCAAGCTGTCACCCCCTCCCTCAGCTATGCAGGACAAAGGTGATCATCTCTGGCTCTGGCTGTGACTGCACCATGCAGCAAATGACCCCCCTGGAGCCCCAGGTGAATGGATATTCTCCCACACTTTTCAGCCTTCAAAGTGCTTTACAGAAGTTTCCTTTCCTTTGAAGATCCACTTCTTGAGGGAAGCTACTGCTGTTCCTGTCTGACAGATATGTGTGTAAGTTTGAGACTGATTTACCACAGATGGATTTGAGACTGATTTACCACAGATGGATTCAAAAGTCTGCAGAGCCACAACCGTTCTGAATGCAGAACGGTTGTGGCTTTGCAGACTTTTGAATCCATCTGTGTGGCATCAAAGCTCGCATGTCTCTCTTCATTAACTTATCAATGGGTTCTCTGTGGAAAAGGGTTCTCTGGACCATCAAATTCCGGCTGCTTTTCATCTTTTCACCTTTAACTGCCTTGTCATTTCTACTTTGGATGTTGTTGCAGTTCAGATCTCCCTATTCAGCCATGAAGCTTATTGGGTGACCTTGGACCACTCACTGCTTCTCGGCATAACCGACCTCACAGGGTTGTTGTTGCAAAGGGTTAAATGAGGAATGGGTAAACCTTATGCACCACCTTGGGCTCCTTGGATGAAAAGGTGTGCTATACAGTGGTACCTTGGGTTACATACGCTTCAGGTTACAGACTCCTCTAACCCAGAAATAGTACCTCGGGTTAAGAACTTTGCTTCAGGATGAGAACAGAAATTATGCGGTGGCGGCACAGCAGCAGCAGCGGGAGGCCCCATTAGCTAAAGTGGTACCACAGGTTAAGAACAGTTTCAGGTTAAGAATGGACCTCCAGAACGAATTAAGTTCTTAACCTGAGGTACCACTGTACATGCAATAAATAACAAAAATAAAAGTGCAGTCCCAAGACTCACCTTTGCACATCACAATGTGTCCTTGTACCTTTTAACAACAACAGACCTTGAATCAGCTTTGTTACTCTCTTAGATTTATTGTGGCATAAATTTTTGAAGAACCCACTTTATTGAAAGTCTTAGAAATAGGTTCTGCTCCACGAAAGCTTATGCCATAATAAGTTTGTTAGTCTTTAAGGTGTCATAAAATTCATTGTTCCTGCTACAGCGGTATCATACAGTTAGCCTTCTGGAATCTCTCTTTAGTGTCAGAATAGCCAATTTGGTGTGTGAGAAAGCAACTTTTGGAAAGAGATTCTGGAAGGGGGAAATGATGGCAGGAGGTGAGCTTCTCAAAGCTTTTGGGTGCAGTTGCTCCAATTCTAGATAAATCCACACATGAGAGCGTTAGTTTACTGCGTGTCAGAATCCAAGGTTATACCAGCAAGGAAGTGAAAATAACTGCATATTTAGGACGAACAAAATATATTACTCATGTTATGCACATTATGGAAGCATAATTTGGTTGTTTTCCTGAATAAATCAACTATCTTTAATTTATTAGATGCAGGCTGTGTTCAAACATCAGTGAAAGTGGTAACAGCTTAATCAAAGTCAATGAGTTTTATTAATTGCCTTACCACAGACCATAGCAATGCCAACAGCCAAGCAGTAATAAATGGCACAAAAATTAATAGTGTAAGATAAATGCAATAATCCTACCCACTTAGAATATTTGCATGGAGGCAATTCTGCCTATGCTTAAAACGATGAAAAAGCAAAAGCAAAAGCACCTTCCATTAATAATACAAGAAGCATTTCATGCTTACGGCTGCAATCCCAACCCACTTATCTGAGAGTAAGCCCCTCTGAATTTAATTGCTTCTGAGTAGACATGGTTAGGACTGTGCTGTGAATTATATAAGTCTTTAGGGACTGTGACCTTTGTTTAGGTGCATCTTGAACAAAGGAGGGTACCACAAACAGTTTGTACCTGGTGTTGGGCAAGTGGGAGAGATTGGGGAGGGGCCTTGGCTCAGTAACTGGAGCTTCTGCTTTGCATGCAGAAGGTCCCGGGTTCAAACCCTGACACCTCCATGCAGGGTTGGGAGAGACCTTGGACTCAAACCCAGGAGAACTGCTGTCGGTCAGTGTAGACAATACAGACCTAGATGGACCCAGTGGTTTGACTCAGTAAAAGCTGGCTTCCCATGTTCCTATTGAACCTTTTATTTATTAGTTTGTTTATTATTTTGCTAGCAGTCTCGTATCTGGTGCAGCTTGGAAATTCTAAGAAGCAAAAAGAAAACCAGTGGTGTTTTGAAATCAGTGGTTAAAATCAGTGCCATTTTGAAAGGGCCAGTCCACCTTGTTGATTCAAAATGGCATCCAGTTGTATCTAGGGCTGGGCGATTTTATCAATATATCGTCCAAAATTGGTTTGAAGTCCATATCATGATATTGGTTTCATAATTTGTGACCTGGCAGTATATCGTGAATTATGATGTGTATGTGTGCTATGCAGAAATCACGATGTGGAGGAAACTGTGAAGCCAAACAATGCTTCTTTTGATTCCTGCAACCCTTGTTAACATCTCCTGGCTCAGTTGTCTTTTGGTTCCTGCAGGGGGCTGTGAATCACGAGAGCAGGCACCAGCAAACATCACTGGCAGGAAAAACCATCAAGCCAGCCAATACCCCTACATAGCTCCATCCTTATTTCAGGCATAGTGATACATAGTGATATATCATGATGTTTAGCTGGTGATGTATTGCAGTGCTGAAAAACAGATATCGCCCAGCTCCTAGCTGTATTCAAACAAGAAACTGCTCATTGAGCTCAGGAACCACTGTGCAGAGTTTGGCAACAATATCTTAAGAGGTGTCTGGATGCATGTCGGAACACACAGCTTCCCAAATTTTTTGATAGTCACATTCACCACGTAAAATAATTTCTCTAGTCGAGGCAATATGCTGCACATCATTTAGGTTGGTGTACTAACCTCACTAGGGACGCGGGTGGCACTGTGGGTTAAACCACAGAGCCTAGGACTTGCCGAACTGAAGATTGGCAGTTCAAATCCTCGTGACTGCGTGAGCTCCCATTGCTCAGTCCCTGCTCCTGCCAACCTAGCAGTTCAAAAGCACGTCAAAGTGCAAGTAGATAAATAGGTACCACTCCAGCGGGAAGGTAAACGGTGTTGCCGTGCGCTGCTGTGGTTTGCCAGAAATGGCTTAGTCATGCTGGCCACATGACCTGGAAGCTCCCTCGGCCAATAAAGCGAGATGAGTGCCGCAACCCCAGAGTCGTCCGCGACTGGACCTAATGGTCAGGGGTCCCTTTACCTTTACTAACCTCACTGCTGACCTACAGATGGTCCAGCAGCTGGTATTCAGAAGCATACAGCCTCTGACACAGGAGATGGAAGATAGCCGTGATGTTTTGTAGCCACTGGTCCTCCATGAATTTGCCTAAAGATCTGGAAAAGCGGCTTACAAATTAAATTATGAATGAATTTGTCTTAAGCTCTTTTGTAGCCACTCGAGTTGGTGATCGCATTTGCACCTTCTGACAGCAAATTCTATACTTGCACTGTGCGCTGTGCGAAGAAGTGCTTTGTTTCGTCTGTCCTTCCAGCTTCCAGCTTTGTTAGATGAAACCAGGTTCTAGTATTATGAGAGATGAAGAAAACCTCTCTCTCTCTCTGTCTTCTCCACACCACGCCTGATTTCACGTATCTCTGTCATGTTCCCACCTTTTCCTCATCTCTCTCTCTCTCCCCCCTTTATACAGCCCTAGCTACCGTTATGCTTTCGTCACAGGAGAGTCGATCTGGCCCTGGGATCATTTAGGTTTCTCCAGTTCTACAATATTCTTTCTGAAATGTGGCAAATAGTACCGTGCAGGAGATCCCAAGGGGGATCCCATCATAGACATACTATAATGCCAGTATGATATGGGCAGTATTATTTCCATTCCTTTTCCTAACGATCCCTAACATTGCATTAACTCTCCCCCCCCACACACTGGGCCAACATTTTCATTGAGCTGTCTGCTGCACAAACCTAACATCTCTTTCTGGTCAGCCTCTATTTTCTAGCTTTCTAGATTTCCATATCAAAACCTGCTCTGAAAATAAAAAAATATAAAATGAAGCTCTTGTATGTTCCAACCAGGTCTGTCATCTGGAAAATTCAAGCTGTGCTGTCTCCAGGTTTTGTGTCTGCAGTTGGGGGGGGGCGGGCGGGCAGGAGGAAGACTGCCGGCAAAACTCTCTGTGGTTACCTCACTGCAAGCGCTTCTCCTCAAACAGTGAGAAGGCTACGCAGAGATTATTGTGAGACACCAATGGGGCGGAGTGGGGCTGTCGTAAGAAGGAAGGAAGGAGAATCAGGATTCGTAGGATAAGACATTTCACTGATAATGGTTTATTAAAATTATTATCTAGGGTTTGACTTGCAAAAATAAATAAGTAAATCTAGGGTTTGTCATGCAAACATATATATAAAGGTAAAGGTAAAGGTAAAGGTAAAGGTAAAGGTAAAGGGACCCCTTACCATTAGCTCCAGTTGTGGACGACTCTGGGGTTGCAGTGCTCATCTCGCTTTATTGACCAAGGGAGCTGGTGTACAGCTTCTGGGTCATGTGGCTAGCATGACTAAGCCGCTTCTGGCGAACCAGAGCAGCACACGGAAACGCCGTTTACCTTCCCGCTGGAGCAGTACCTATTTATCTACTTGCACTTTGACGTGCTTTCGAACTGCTAGGTTGGCAGAAGCAGGGACCGAGCAACGGGAGCTCACCCTGTCTCAGTGATTCGGACCGCCGACCTTCTGATCGGCAAGTCCTAGGCTCTGTGGTTTAACCCACAGCACCACCCATGTAAAAAACAGGCTGCAATATTATTATGCAATTTGTTGTTTGTTCATTAAGTTGATTGCCTGCCTTTTAGAAAACTTCTCACCTAAGGCCAACTCCCTGCGGTACTGGAATCACAGCTAAAGAATTACTTACTTACATGTAAGATATGCATAGCGTTATGCTAAGGGGCTTATGCTAAGAAGTACTGTTGGACCTGGTAGGCAGAAAGGTGGGGAGACAAACAGTAGGTGGAGCTAGAGCCAACGACAGGCAACTCATTTTGGGCTGCATTGACATAGCAGTTTATCCTGTTTCCCCAGTGCACCTCTAACTGTTAAATTCTGCAGCATAGTTGAGCTTTCACTCGATGTAAAAACCACTTCCAGGAAACTAATGGAATTTGGCTAACGTTCAGTGATTATTTCCATGTTATCTTTTTTCGGAAAAACAACAACTCTGTTTGCAAATAGACCCAGAAGTAAATGCTAGACGTGAGCTACATTCTGCAGTGTTTCTGGAAGCGGCTTTCGTGTCAAGTGTAAGCCCAGATATAATGCAGAAGTTCACAATTGGGGGGATGTTGGGGAAAGGGAATAAACCAACGTGTGAACGCAGCCCTAGTTTTTGTCTTCCCTGATGAGTTTTATTAGGGCAGCACTGAGGCTGCAGAAGAAGAAGCTGACCGGCAGGGGCATCTACCTGTACTGGTTGCAAGTGAGAAGGCGGACAAGTGGAGGCAGATTGAGGTTGGTGGAACAGTCCCCCATGCACTATAATGGATCAGCTTCCACAGTAGAACCACTATCTATTGTGCTAGAATACCATCTTTACTCTGGGTAATACTGGATTAGTGATGCATGGAAGTGAGAGCTGGATCATAAAGAAGGCTGATCGCCGAAGAATTGATGCTTTTGAAATATGGTGCTGGAGGAGATTCTTGAGAGTCCCGTGGACTGCAAGAAGATCAAACCTATCCATTCTTAAGGAAATCAGCCCTGAGTGCTCACTGGAAGGACAGATCCTGAAGCTGAGGCTCCAATACTTTGGCCAACTCATGAGAAGAGAAGACTCCCTGGAAAAGACCCTGATGTTGGGAAAGATTGAGGGCACAAGGAGAAGGGGACAACAGAGGACGAGATGGTTGGTCAGTGTTCTTGAAGCTACCAGCATGAGTTTGACCAAACTGCGGGAGGCAGTGGAAGACAGGAGTGCCTGGCGTGCTCTGGTCCAATGGGTCACAAAGAGTCGGATACGACTAAATGACTAAACAACAACAACAACAACAACAACAACAACAACAACAACAAAGTAGTTAGATTACATGAGGGGCCAGTGGGGTTTCCTGTGGCCCTACAAAACCTCGGACTCTGGCCTTGCTCCTTGATCTGAGCAGTATCCGTAGGAGTACTAGTTTACCCCTGGTCTATTTGGTTGACTCATTTGCTGCAGTGGCCTTGATGGCTTCAGTCAGCCAAACAGTCAGCCAAGTTTATTCGGAAGACGAGATGGAGACTGAAATGGCATTCTGCTAGCTCTTTCCTGGTAGCTCTGCTGGTGAAAGGAGAATGCTGTGACGCTGGTGTTCAGTGAGAGAAGGAACATGCCTCGTTAGCTGCGTCGATCACATCAGACCTTCTCCTGCACATGGGGCCTGTTTGTTCCATCCATCCCACACTGATTGCCTGTCACATTGTGGTTCATTCCAGCCGCTTAATTTTCTTTCGGCTCAAGGAGCTGATGCGGAGGTGATGGAAAGTGCGACATGTCATTCTCATCCCTTGCCCACTGTTAAAAACACCTACAGACTCATTGCTACCTATTTCTAAAGGCCAGCAAGTCACTCCTGGGGCTAGATAGGTAGCAACAGTTCAGAGAAGGAGCTCACATTGACCAAAAGGGAGATCTAGAAATGTGCATTTATTTGTTGAAATTTTCATCCCACCTTTTCTCTAAATTCTCTCCCTTCCCATTTTATCCTCAAAACAACCATATGAGGTTGCTAAACCTGAGAGATAGTGACTAGACCAAGGTCACTCAGCTGAGTGGTTGTTTGAACCCAGTTTCCTCTGTTCCTAGTCTCCAACACTGTAACCACTATGCTGTGCTAGCTATCATGTCACGAACTGCATAATTTGGAAATCCTAGACCACACAGTCTTCTTCTTCTTCTATTTTTTTGAAAGTGTGTGTGTGTGTGTGTGTGTTGGAGTTGCAATATTGGAACTGAAGGGGAGTTT